TATGATTCATTCTAATCAAATTATTTTCTTGTGGGTGCATGATAGGTTTTGTTTCAGGTAATGAAACAATTTCAGTTTGTTTTAAATTTGTTTTGAAACAAAGCGATGAAATCGAGGATGAAAGTTGAATCATGAATTAAGCTCTTTATATTCTATTGATATATTTATACGAGTACTGCTAACTATAATTGTGCGCATGAACTGTGCATATAAGCAATATGGGAGAAAGAAACTCAAGCATACCATGCATTCACCGCATGATCATAAACACAATCAGTCAATAATCACGCACTGTTGGCGTATGAAGAAAGAAAGAAGCACACATTGGACCATGCCCTATTCTCATATAGAACAGAACAAAACACACCCCTATAAAAGAGGTGTGCGTAAAAGAACGACGCAAAGAACACGCACTCAGTGGCTGATCAATATAGGTTTTTTTTTATTGAAGGGAAATAGAAAAAAAATACACAGGGAAAAAAGATGATGAAATAACAAATAGCGACGTAAAAAAAGTTGTTATTGTATAATATTTATAAAAGAGAACGAAAGAGGAAAAAAATCGTCCAATCACATTGAATAAATTACGACTTAAACGAGTAGATATGAGAACCTTCAAGTTCGGAAAAATAAATATTCTTTAATGTTATCATGTGAAAAACATGTGAGAGTAATAAGCCCAAGTGGTACGTCGCAAAAAAAAACTTCATAATCAAGAGACTTGTTTTAATATAATATTCTCATTGAATATATATCTGCATAGCAAAAAAATTCAATTGTTACAAATTATATTCAATAAAAAAAAGAAAAAAATGAACACATCTATAATAATGAACAGATAGATTAATTTTAGTTATGATGCAGATTACAAATTCATGTTAATTTATAGAAAGACTTAGTACATGTCATTGTGACATGTTATATTTTATCTTCCAAAATAGCAGCAAGATGACAAGCGATGCAATAATCTATTCATAAAGATGCGATATTATATTTGTATGAGACAATAAAGATAAAAAGAAAACATATTTTATTAAGCAGTTAAATCAACAGATATGTCATACAGTTGTTATATTGAACATAAAATGCAATCACATTCTAGATTATTTTTTTAGTTCATCTTAAATCAGTATTTAGTCTAGTATTTTAAATAGTTGATGACTAATTTCATATATCACACCTCTAAATATAACTTATCTCAAAAGAGTCAAAGATACAACACAACAAACTACGCATTCATGTAATATCAAATAAAATTCTTTTTATTTTATTACGCATATTCTATTCACAAGACTCTTTTTCACGACGACAAAGCAAACCAATTTATACGCATATCAATAAATTGTTTTCTCAGATAAGATATCCTTGAATGTAACTGCTTGCTTTAGATTTTTTTTCACGAGTGCTCTCAACAAAATGCCGCAAAAAATGATTCATCTATATATATATATGCATGTTGATTCATCAGTCATGTTGACCTAATTCATCTTCTAGTTTATTTATAAAAAAGAAATTTTCATAATTTAATATACAATAAAAACCACAAATATCTTTTATTGAACAAAAAAATTCTACGTATTCACATATAGTTGAATTCCAATCGCTTTAATGATTTTTAAAGAAAAAAATATATAAGGCACATGCCACACGTACTTTTGTGTTTTTTTTTTTGACTGCGCAATTTATTTATTTACTGATTTGCTCTGATAGAACTTATTTAAATACAAAGAAAAATTCAATACCATACACTGATGACATCTCAATAATGAACCTTCGTAATTTTTATTATCTCCAATCCATGAAATTTTATTGCTAGATAGTTTATTGCTAAAAATATTTCTTTTTTTTTTTAATTAAATATAACACAAAATGAGTGAAAATAAAATATTATTAATAAAAACATGTTTCGAAAGTCTAAGTACAGAATTATTAATGTTAATATTTGATTATTTAACATCAATTGAAATTTTAGTTACATTTTTTAATTTAAATAAACGTTTTCGTTTAATTATTTATTATTATTTACAATCAGGTTATCGTTTAACACAATTTAATTTAAATCATACAAATTATTTAACATATAAACATTTTTGTAAAGATATTTTACCAAATTTAAAATCAACAATCACATCATTTCAACTCGGTAGTAATTATTATTATGGACAAATTGATTATTTTAATCAATATCAATTAATACGTCTTGATTCACTTACAATACGTTTAATTGATCCAAATATAATTATTGATATTATTCAAAAATTTCTTAATTATAATCGTTTGCAATGGTTTGATAAAATAAATTTAATTATCGATGAAGAAACTATAGGATGGAATGAAAAAATGCCTTTTTGTGTACAAAATATACCTGTTAGAGAATTAAAGATTACAGGCAAGAACGAAATTTTAAATAGAATTTGATGTACAACTTAAATTAGAGCATATTCAAGAAGAACCATCAAAGTCAAATACATGTATTTGAAATAATCTAAAGTTAACACTATTCAACACCAAAAACTTCTATCAGATAGTGTCAAATCTGGTCTATTCAATTTTCTCGTGTATTTCAAGTTTTGAAAACAAGTTTATTTTTTTGTTTTATAAAAATTCACTTATGATGAATCATTTTAAAGATATTCAAATAATTTGAAAGTTTTTTTTTTTCAAAAAATTTTCCTATTCCCTGTTTCAGAGTCATTTTTTTATATAAGCAAAAGCAGTCATATGAATCTTTATTTCTTGCAGGTAAAGTTCCATATGTCTTTGCTCAACATTTAATGACAGGTTGTTATTCAATTACACATTTAACTATTCATCTAAAATTTGATCATGGTAAGAATATCATATGTAACTCTCCATAAATGAATCTTCATTATTTTTAGATCTACTTCCTCTTCTTTATTATTTACCAAATCTAATTGAATGTAATGCATATGTTGATCAGCGTGGTCGTGATATATCGAATGATTTAACACTTCTTGCACCACTTCCTTCTTTAAAATATTTTAAATATGAAGGACGTATGCCACCAATTTATTTACGACGTTTAATTATTGAAATTAATCAACATATTGAATATTTATCTATTTATACACAAGATTATCAATGGTCATTTCATTCATCCGAAGCATTTTCTTCTGATTTTTTTGATCATTTATATGATTTACGAATACTTCATTTTTATATTCGTCTAATGATTTCAGATGGTTTTGTTAATATAACATCATATTTTATAGATACAAAACATTTAATAAATAGAAATTTATGTCATAATATAGCATGTGTTCTATCAAAAGATATGGGACAAATATTTTCTTTACCATTTGGATTTAATCATTTTGAAATATTTGAAAAAAAATTTTTTACTCAAATTCAATATTCTATATATGAAAAAGAAAATTTCAATGAAAATTATTGGAGTAATATAAAACATCTTACATTACATATAAATATTTATGATTCATTATTATTACAATTAATAAAAGAAAAATTTACTAAATTACGTTTAATTGATTATCAAGTTCCTCATTTTAGTCTTATACCACAAGATAATGAATTACATCAATATAATATTCAACTCGGTGAGTTTATTAGAAAAACATCTAATATAGAAAACATATTCAGGGATGAGAAAATATCTCGATAAGTAGAGCAAAAATTATCATAGACTCGAAATTCCCAAATATTTTCTTCAGGAAGATATGAAAGTCACAAAGAAAAAAGATGTATGGAAGTTTTTCCTGTCGACAAAAGTTGATATTCATTTTTTAAGCTGTAATGTTTTTATGAGGACTACGATCGAATTGGAGTACTTGTTTGTTCTTCTTTTGAAAATATCGTTCCTTGAGCTCAGCAGAAGCAAAATACTGGAATAACCGTCAAAAGGCGCACTTTTCTCAATCGTATAAATATTTTAAGATGTATCGAGTTTCATTGGAAGAACATTTTGAAACAAAAAAAAACTATTCATACAACTTGGGTTGAAGTATCAACTATAAAAATTTGGACCCAATCGGGCGTATTGTGTGGGAGAAAAATGGTCGTCGTCAGTGGTGTTAGAGGACTATTATCCATGCTCTCAGAACTTTTGGAATGAGAAATAGCTCTTATCATTAAGAGAATTTCACATACAAAGGATAGCCATAACGCCAGTTTCTCTGTTCTAGATCTTCTTGAGAGTAAAGATGTGAAAACTAATATTTTTCTGGACACACGCGTTTCATTTTCTGTCTATAATTTTATTTTTATTTTAGGTGCTATAAAGAAGCTTATAATTCGTGATAGTGTAAAACATGGATGTCATGTGCCTCAACCACTTTTTCTTCTTACATCAAATCTTATTGAACTTGAAATAGATCATTTTTATTTAATGCAAATTATTTCAATTGTTAGTCAACAAACACAATCACATATATTATCAACATTTGCTCAACTTCGTCGTGTAACAGTTCGTCAATTTGATGAACGTATCACTGATTATTTTTTTTCATATTTTTCTCATATAAAAATCTTTGCTCTTATATTTACAACATATAAAATGCAAGTCTATCGTAATAAATTACCATTTCTTGATAATCTTCTCAATTCCATGCCAAATTTAATTAGTCTAAAATTAGAACATATAAAAAAACCACAAGATTATCATGCATATATTGAAATGCAAAAAAATGTTGAAGAAAAATTTTCTGAATACTATTCAAAGAATATTTATTGGTGTAAATGGTACAATGACCATACACAAAAAGATCATAAATATGCAACATTTCTATTTTCAACATAAAAAAAAAGAATTTCTTTTTTTTTCTTTTATTAAATTTATTGTTCGTCATTTAATGTCTGCTCAGGAGTTTTTATAGTGTCAAAAATCTTGTTTAGCATGATTATGCATATGTGTGATAATGACTTCTTTTCTCTAAATGTATATATTATTCACATCTAAAAGAAATTAAACTAATCTCTTTATTTAGTATATTCATCTGATGATAAAATTTCAATTCTTTTAGATGAATGAATCACTATCATCAACAACAATGGAACAATCGGATTCTAGATATTTTTCACAACGAGCAAAACATATTTCTTTATTACGTGAACAATCTCCATCTGTATTTGTTAAACCACCGTTATCAGAAACTCATTTTCAATTTTCTAATCGTAGTCACATGTCTATAACCGATACTCAATTAACTGCAGTAGGACGCGGTCATGGTAATTTAATATCAAATGATCATCGTCAAATTATTAGTACAGGTCGAGGTCGAACAACAATTCCTTTATCCTCATTTATATTGCAAAAAGACAATCTTTCGCCGTCGCCATCAACTGCTCCGACTATTTCATCACCAATATTTGTTATGCACGAGGAAGTACAATTTGTTCGACCGTATTTTGGACCACCAAGTACTAATGATATACAATCATCATCGACATCTCATAAACGAGATATTCTTCTTTCAGCCTTGAAAGAAATTGAATCAGGTTTAAAAACATTGTAAGTCTATTTTCGTTTGTTTCTACGAGGAATAGTCGATTTTCTGATACTCAAGTTTTTCTTTTTGTTGTTCAAGATGTCAGATACGATAAGATTAAAAAGTATTGCATCTATTTTTTTCTTGTTTGTTGGCTATTTTGTGATCGAAGAAAATTTTGTTTATGTACGAATTGTTTTTTGTTAAGAAGTGTTATGAATTATGTTTGGCAATTGTTTTGGTTGTGTTTTTTTTCTATCAACGTGAAACAGACTTTTGAATGAAAAATATCATAATTGAAATTTGGGTTTTTCTGTAGCGAGATAGCCAACAATGTAAGGAGTAATTTAAAGATATGAACTTTTAAATCTTCATTTATAAATCTTTATTAAATACCATAAGAGTTTTAAATCACATCATCATAGTTTCTTTTTACAGACTTTTATTGTAGGTACTCTAAGTATTACAAACACTTGGATAATAATTCATTGTCCTTATATATATAAATATATATCTGTATCGAGTTCATCAGGAAACTTAACGGTGAAATAAATATAAATGGTTCATGATTTTTTCACTTGTAAGAGGAATTCTTTTCAACTGAATTAGACAAAAGATTAAACTGTTGAAAGCTAATCTACTTTTGAGATCTAATGATCACTAAAATATCTTTAGAACAATGATAAGGAATCTCTCAGCGAAATTGTTTCAAAGATACACTACAATCAATATCCAATATGTGGAATCACTCATATTTTTTAATAAAAATTAACGGGGATCTCCTAAGATAACAAACAAAGCACATGAGACAAAACATTATTTTTATTCTTTAAAAGACATTATTAGTTAAATATATCTTTCAATATATGTATGTCAAAGATAGTGAACACAGGAAATAGGTAACTATCAGTGTTATATTAGTTCATGTCATATATCTAAACAAGAAAAGCTGAAAAATGTATCATACATGTAATAGTGATGATACTATATATTAATGTTCGTGTTAGTACTACTTACAAGATAAAAATTAATTGAAATTTGTGTTTAACGATTTTCTTAACCCTTCAGAGACGAAATTCTTTCGAATGAAAATTAATTCGCCAATCGATTTATTTTATTTGGTTCGAAATGATGACATAAAGAATTTATGACAATATATCAAAAGCAGAGAGAGAAAGCTCATGATATCAGTATATATTAGCCGAAAGAAAGGAGAACACCTGAGAAGGATCTATACGACAGGAAGAAAGAGAGAAATGATACGCATGAGCTGGTACATGGGACGACCTATTACCTTACAGATCATAACAGTTTGAAACCGAGTAAACATTGTCTTTATTAGCAGACAGATGGTACAACGTATGTAACACTAGCACTATTGTCAAAGGCTTGACCAATCATTAGCAATCATGTCTCGCAAAAAGATGAAGCATTGAATCTTGTATCGTTTTCTCTCAGAAGGTACATCATTGCATACTGATAAAATGAAGAAAATCATTGTTAGTGCTGCTCTCTTATTCAGGATGAAGTTCACAGGATATAATGAATCGAAAATATGTTTCAGTAATGAAACTAACATTAGTATTCATATCAATGTTTATACTGACTTATGGCGCAAGACACACTATGATTTCGAAAGTGACTATGATCATATTTACTATAAGTTATTGCTTCGAGATCAAGCTTTCACAGCAAACGTGAACATACAAAAATTCCATACTCTTTACGATCAAGGTCGTTGAATAATGAAAACGGACCTATTAAATTTGTTGAAAATAAAGACGTAAATTTAAAAATGATGAGATTGGTTTATTTATTAGTGATAGACAGATTACAAGCGATGATAGTTGAAGTCATATGTCTGTTTTCCATTGAAGATGTACAACTATTTGATGTTACTCTTGAAGAATTTAGCATTGTGGAAGTGTGAAATGTGTTGTCATCATGTATTTCTTTATCCTTTCTTTTCTTTCATACTTTGATTCTATTTTATGAAGCCATTGTTCACCACAAGAATATGTGACATATAAATATAAATGTTAGACTTGCATCTATGAAAATTATGCTTGCAGTTGGAAATTCAAAACATAGAAGAACCTTATGAAATGCAATTTAGTTTGAAAAATCTCAACAAGGAATCTTTTTTCTGAGCATTAAATATTTCTGCAATATGCCTCTTTCGTTTTGGATGCATTGTTGCCATGAATTTAATGTTTGAGTTGATTTAGTCCTTGATCATTGTCTGCTGCTAACTTTATTCTTACTAATCACACTGTATTTTTCATACGTTTGATGGTATGAATGCAGAATATGATGTGTATCAAGGAGACGATCTCTTGTTCATGTTCTTTCTCTTATAAGTAAGTTAAAGTGTCAAATAAAGCAAATTGACTTGAAGAAATTCGTCAGACTACCTTTTCATGTCGAGAACTGATTCTCTTTGAATTATCGGTCGTAGAGCAGTTCTCATCGAAAGCAGATTAGACTTATTTGTTAGTGATCGTCAAGAGAAAACTATTTAACGAGAGAAGATCATCCACAACTCTTTGTGACTGCCAAAAGTCTTGTCAAACATAGTAATGTGAAAGAAAAACAAAAACAGAGTAATTCTTGTTGAACTTTAGCACATTTCATCGTTCATTTCATTACTGAAATACGCTGCACTAAATTTAGCGTAAAATCATGAATCCTACAAAAGGGTTTATGAGACTGATAAATCCTAGGAAAAAATGTTATCAACTCTTCAAGTATTTGTAAAAACAAATATTAAAATCTTCAAAGGTTTATTATCTTTAGAGTTGTGCAAAGATTAATGAGAATAATAGACCTTTTTGTACTATGTATTATTCGATGCTTATTTCATAATATAATAGTAACGAAACCTTATCATTCTAAATTTCAATTAAAAATTTGTAGGCAAAAAAGCAGTATTGGTTTATTTCTAAGGTTTCAGAAGATCTTGTGAAATTGTGAATGGAGAGGCAGACAATGTCTGTTAATATAGACTCACGCAACATCGCATCTTGAAATAGTCATAAAATGATGACATCTGAGTGAAATAGAAATTTGTTCTACGCTGAAGTAGACTTCCAAGATTTACTGTAGTAAATAAATTAGCCAGTTCTTAGTTTTCATGAAGTTTTTGTGAATGAAACTAATTGAGTATCACTTGTTAAAATCACTTGATTTTCTAGTTTATAATATTCATTCAAACAATTGAGAAATTAAACTTATTCAAACAAATATCGGTTCTTTACTTCGAAGTTTCAAACAGATGGGTCAGGATCAACATGAGTAGACTGGCAAGATACAAGTGTATGGAGTCGTAAGACTAACACCATCTATTGCACACTCACCAACATGTTCATGCTCATGCCTAATCATATTTCCCCTCGAGTATAGACACATACAATCCTAATTCATTCTCAAAACCACATGTTTGCCAACCTTAGATGATCGAAAATGTAGAGACCATGGATCGAAAAATGACGCATCGATCTATTCCTCTCATTCAATGAATCAATCATCGATAAGTAGAACGGTGTCGTGTATACGCACATGCGATTGATTATTGAAAGAAAAACTTTTCTCTTTCTGCTTTATCTCACCACGTCAACATTCTAATCATAAAACGCATAAAGTTTTTTATTATTTTTTCTTTACGCTAATAATTGATTCTTTTTTCATGTTCGATACCTTGCTTGCGCTTGGAATTTTCCAACTTGAATTAGTAATTCGCCATCAAGCGAAATTTACCTTCTGTATTTTTAGAGAAACAGCAAAAGCTACACAGGACAATTTAGCATCAGTTACATTCATGTTTACGTAACAGCACACAAAGAACGAAGAAAAAACTTAATAACGTACGTATGAACGCAAACAGTGGGTAAAAATATACAAGTGCGTAATTCATGACACATTATTGAAGCTTGAATTGCATTTCAATAAGAGAAACTATATGCACATATGAAGTAATCCAATATTCCACTTTCAGCTTAGATTTAGATTGTATGATTGCATAACGTTTAATTAATTAGTATTTGTTTCATGTTTTTTAATCTTGAAGAAAAACTATGGAGTTAAACAATGATCTCGTCAATCATGGAATGTCTATTCATCATGGTAAAAATTTTGACTTCCGTATTATCGATTTTCCTCTTGTTCATTCAAATGCACCGTTGACTGTGAGATCCAAGTGCAGGTGATATAATTCTTTCGATATAAGAAATAATATTAACATTTAACAATTGACTCTTTGCCGGATTTAGAGACTTTCGTGATAAATTAATTCGAGCGTTTTCCGATGATACATCAAATTGCGAGAATACACGACGCCAATGTGAGTTGTCTTTCGAAACCTATTGTCTCTTTGAACATGATTCTCGACTAGGTTACCAATGGACCATTGAATTCATCTGGAGTGCGATTATTGATGATGTTATAACTTTCAATGAAACTTTCAAATCCGTCGGAGTATGTTTTGTCTATCATAACTATCAATCACACATGTGTTCTTGTAGGAAGGACATCGTTTCATGTTTGTGTGCTTCGATAACAATCTTTTGCCATATCAACGAGATCTCTTAACTAATCGCTATACCAATAGTGTCTTTTTTGAGTCTCACAACTCTAATTCGAATAGTAATTGTGACACAATCTTCCACTATCTTCGTGAAAATCAACATAACGAGGTCGTACGACATAAACGGGTAGGTATTGAACAGAATTTTGTCTCAATACTGATAATTGCTTTTTGTATAGAGGACACCGGATTATTCCTATCCACTGCGTCTTCATGCTAATAGCATTAGCAGTGGACTCGTTTTTAACTATTTCTATTCCTATCTCAATCGACAAGTTGGCTCAAGTAAGATCAGATAGAATGCTTCTAAGAGTACATCAATGTTTAGTATTTCACGTCAAAGATAGTATATTTAAGGCATGAAGAGCTTGTGTCATAAAATCGGCGTCGATTGTTAGTGGAATCATTGAACTGAGAATTTATAACGAAGAGAGATTGACTAAAA